AGAGCACAGAGCTCTCGAGCGCATGGGTTTTTGTAGTTGCAGCTTAGTTGTTACGTGGCATGTGGGATCTTTCCGAACCAGGGATCAAGCTAGTGTCCCCTACATTTCAAGGCAGATTCTTAACCACTGGACCAAGTGATAAGGGAAACCCCAGTTTAAATTTCTAATTCTAGTTAAGAGAGACTGTTTCTCCATAAGTCCTACCAATAGTAAGTTTTGCCACAGTTTTTCATCTCTGCTTATTTAATAGGTAAGTCATGATATCTCAGTGTTTCATTTTGTATTTCTTTGTTTAGTTCTGAATTTAAACCTATATTTTAATTTTTCCTGGACAGTAGCATTTTTTTCTCTGTGATTTCAATGTCACATCCTTTGTTCATGTTTTAATTGGAGTGTTGTTCATTTGTTTATTTTTGGTTACCTCATTTTAAAATGCAATTATTTCCCCCATTTTCATTTTGTCTTTCAAACTTTGGTATTTTTGTTGTTGTTCTGTTTTGTTTTTGCCATATACAGACATTTTCAATTTGTTCATGAGCTCATGCCTATTTTCATTTATGGTTTCTGGCTGTGTTGCTTAAGACAGCTTCTTGATTCTCGTAGTAAATTATAAATTAATATTAAAGATCAAAATTATTGGGGATAATGTGGTACAAATAGTTAAGCCATGTATCTTATTGGCATGCTCATTAGGCTAAATTTGAAGGAATAATAATAATAATATTTGGATGTGAGAGGTAAGGATGGAAGATGGTTCTGTTTGATTCAAAGCATGAAATTTCTGGCCTCTAATTAAGTTGGGGTTGCCAGATTAAGAATCCACCTGCCAATGCAAGGTCCAAGAGATATGGGTTTGATCCCTGGGTCAGGAAGATCCACTGAAGGAGGAAATGGCAACCTGCTCCAATATTCTTGCTGGGAAGGCTCTGCCAGGCTCCTGTCCATAGGGTCAAAATGAGTAGGACATGACTGAGCATGCTAAGGAAGGCCAGATTAACAAATAAAAACACAGAACACTCAGTCATGTTTGCATTTCAGATAACAAATAGTTTTTTTTCATAAGTTTGTTCAATATTTTATCTAGTGACCCCAAATTAAAGTAAGTAAATAACAATATGATGGTATTCAAAGTAAAAGCTAGTCATCTCAAAATGTACTGCTACCGTATATATTGAGATAGTTAGGTTATCCACAATATATTTTTTTGGAAAAACTCTGTCACATCCTATAGATGATCCACATCCTAACAAAGGTTTTTTTTTTTTTTTTTTTTTTTTTTTTTTAATGTGTGTTGCATGTCTACACAGCCAAGTAGAAGTATGAATTGAACTTTATCTGAGACCTAACATCCAGTTGGTATTGGTTTAGCTGCTAAGTCATGTCTGATTCTTGCTACCCCATGGGCTATAGCCTGCCAGGCTCCTCTGTCCATGGGATTCTCCAGGCAAGAATACTTGAGTGGGTTGCCATTTCCTTCTCCAGGGAATCTTCCTGACCCAGGGATCAAACCCAGGTCTCCTGCACTGTAGACAGATTCTTTACCAACTAAGCTACAAGGGAAGACTGTTAGCCACATTCAGTTGGAAAATTGTACTTTTTTCCAATAGCAAGGATTCTTGTTTTATTTTCTAGATCAGTGATTTTTGGCCCTGACTACATATTAGTATTACTTGCGGAGATTTACAAAGGTTATATGACAAGATCCTTCATGTAGAGTCCATTTTAGGTTGGTCTGAGAGGGGCCTTATTGCTTAGTTGCCCACTGCCTGTTTCCTCACCCATAAAGTGGGAGTAAAATTATTTCCTATGTCCAGGCTTCATCTTGAGAGTTAAATATGTAATGCTGGTGGAGTTTTAGAAGAAGTCTGACTTGTAATCACTCTTAAATAAATGAAAGTCATTGTATTGTAATGAAACCATAATAGAGTTTCCTAGCTCATTGAGAACTAGGAAATGCAATAGATACCAAGCAAAGCATGGGTAGATGAAAATGCTAGAAAGGCTCACATCTGCATGCAAGAGCTGATTATGGATATCTCTGCTCATCCCTACATTTAGTGACATTAGGTCTGAAAATCAGCCATGGTGAATTTATTTACAGCACAGAAACCATCAAAGGCTGAAATCAATGATTTTTAGTTCTTCACTTTTGTATTTTTGTACCCCAGAGATCCAGCTATTGACAATATCACCATGTGAGAGGATGGAGGCAAGTGACAGAGAGGTCTGGGGTGAAAAACATTATACATTTACCTTGTGGTTTGGCCTGAATTTGGACCTAGCCAGTTATGGCATACAAGAGTTGGACCATAAAAAAGGCTGAGCGCCGAAGAATTCATGCTTTTTCATCACAAAATTGTGTGATGCTGCAGAAGACTCTTGAGAGTGCAAGGAGATCAAACCCTGCAATTCCAAAGGAATTCTGAGTCAATTCTGAAGGAAATCAGCCCTGAATATTCATTGGAAGGACTGATGCCGAGGCTCCAATACTTTGGCCATGTGATGTGAAGAGCTGCTGCTACTAAGTCGCTTCAGTCGTGTCTGACTCTGTGGGACCCCATAGATGGCAGCCCACCAGGCTCTGCTGTCCCTGGGATTCTCCAGGCAAGAACACTGGAGTGGGTTGCCATTTCCTTCTCCAGATGTGAAGAGCTATCTCATTGGAAAATACCCTGATGCTGGGAAAGATTGAAGGCAAAAGGAGAAAAGGGTGGCAGAGGATGAGATGGTTAGATAGCATCACTGATTCAATGGACATGAATTTGAGCAAACTCCGGGAGATAGTGAAAGACAGGGAAGCCTGGTGTGATACAGTCCGTAGGGTTGCAAAGATTTGGACACACTTAGCGACTGAACAACAGTCATGGCATCTGTCATTCATGGACCCAGTCCTTAAGTGTTGAGTCCCTGGAGGTAATAGATTTATGAGTATCATGGTCCTCTCCTGGTTTTGAATCTAGAATCACCAGATTATGATTGAGCTATCACTCAAACATTTGTTCCAAGTCTAGGGGCAAATTATTTAATCCTGCCCTCAAAAACTTAAGGATTTGAACTCATAGAAACAAAGAGTAGAATGGTGGTTGCCAGAGGCTGGTGGAAATGGGGAGAGGATGGTCAAAGTGTACACACCTTCAGTTATAGAGTGAATACAGATTCTGAGGAGTTAATGTCTAGCATGGTGGCTAAAGTTAATAATACTTCATTGTGTACTTGAAATTTGCTAAGTGAGTAGATATAAAGCATTCTCACATGCACAAACACAAAGTAACTATATGAGGTGATAGATGTGTCAATTAACTTGGTGTTAGAATCATTTCATGGTAAATGCATGCATGCTAAGTTGCTTCAGTTGTTCCTGAATCTTTGTGATCTCATGGACTATAGCCCATCAGGGTCTTCTGTCCATGGGATTCTCCAGATGAGAATACTGGACTGGGTTGCCACTTCCTCCTCTAGGAGATCTTCTGGACCCGGGGATTGAACCCACCTTTCCTGTGGCTCCTGTGTTGCAGGCAGATTCTTTACTGCTGAGTCACCAGGGAAGCCCTTCATGCTATATATGTGTATCAAATTATTGTGTTGTGTACTTTAAATATATAAAATTTTAATTGTCATTTATACCTCAATAAAGCTGGGAAAAAAGCAAGGATTTGTGGGGGATATAGCAGGGGGCATAGGAAGCCACAAGATGAACATGCTCCATCTAACTTATATTTAGATGGATGCACATCCTCAAAACCCAGGCCCAAAATGATGATGGTGATCATGGTGGTGGTGATGATGATGATGAAATTCCCTTGAGGTCTACTTTAGATTAGTTTTGGAATGCTCTGAGATGCTCTGTTCTTTGTCCTTTGCCTTTGTTGAGTACTCAGGTAGAAACAGATAGAAAGTATTAGAGGATCTTCATGCCTCAGTTTCCTCATTAATCAGAACAGAATGGTTGTTGGAGTGATATGGGTAATGGGTTTTAACTGCATAGTGATTGCAGTTAGGTCCTCAATTTTCAAGAACGTTTGTTGGGTTAGGTTATAACTTCGGAACTTAGAAGGACTTCCCTGGTGGCTCAGATGGTAAAGAATCTGCCTGTAATGCAGGAGATCTGGCTTCAATCCTCGGTCAGGGTGTTCCCCTGGAGAAGGAAATGGGTGCCCACTTCAGTGTTCTGGCCTGGAGAATTCCATGGACAAAGGAGCCTTGAGAACTACAGTCCCTGAGTAGGACTTGTGGGCGACTAACACTTTGATTACTTAGAGCTAAGTAAGCACCCTGCCCAGATTCTGAACTTTGACCTTGGACCTCAGTAGCCCCAAGAGCTCTCTAGGGCCACTAGTCCTAATAGCCTCAGTGGTGGTAGAGCTAGAGTCCTACTGCCTGACAGTTTGTTTTTGTTGCTCTCTAAGTAAATCAGCATTTGTTATTGTTCATTTTAACCTTTATTTGACTTGCTTTAACAAAAGAGACATAGTAAATCTTTTCTCATAATGATTGAAACTTTCTTCACTTAGGGAATTATATTGTTTTGGAAAAAAGCAGCCTGTATCATTCTGCATTAAAATGTGCAACATTGTTATTTTGGATTATTTGCTATAATCCTAAATCTAAAATCATGCATTAAAAAGCCAATATGAGACTTTAAATTTCTTAACTTAAAAAAACCCAACTATAATTGTATTAGGAAGAAAAAGAAGGTTTATAATACTCAGGTATACCGTTCAACTAAATCAGAATTTTGTATTTGTACAATCTCTCCTCCTTGGAAGTTGCAGGTAGACAAAATTATTATATATATTGTATGTATGCTGCACGTACATAAAATTGATGAGAGGCCCTGAAAATAAGCAAGCTCTTTGGAACCCAGACTGGATTGCCAAGCCGAGTACCCCTGCAAAACAAATTCTCTTTGTCTGAACATATGAAATGTACCAAAAGAGAGTGAAAACCAGTTTTTTGTTTTTTTTTTTTTCCTTTTTTAACTTTTTTTTTTGTTTTTGTAGGAGAACCACCAGTGGAAGAAAAGATCACTTCCTCTGTAGACACTTTATGGGTTTCGGATTCCATAAACTCTGCCATGTAACTTGACCCCAAAGCTAATGAAATCCTGTTAGACTTTCCCTGCCCTCCTTCCTGCTTCCATCTTTCTGACTGTCTCACCTTTGAAAACCTAGATTTGTATTTGTATACATGTGTGATCCCTCCTCCCATTGTCTGATTTTTTACCCAGGCACTTTTCACCTACATCCTCTCTTTCCCTCATTTGGCAGTCGGTTGGGCTTCTTCCTGTCTTGAATACCACATTCCCGAGTTATTCAAGCTCAGTCATTAGCACCCTGTCCCCCTACTAAAATTATGAATGAAAAGCCTTGTTGTTCTTTACAAATAACTCAGGCTTCCTCAGTCAGTCAAATTCAAATGGAAGTGACTGCCGGACAAAGGGGCGGGATGATGGACAGTCCTCACAGCGAGTCATCAATGCCCACAGGAAGTTTGTAAAGCCACAATCTAGGTGGAGAGGATTGGGTGTTCCCAGAGGATGAGGGTTGGGGGGAGCTGGGAGGGGAGGGGTGCTCTTTGAGTCCTTTGGGATCTTAGAGGGAAAAAAGAAAGTCCACGAGGACCAGGGAAAGCAATGTAGAGAGTCAATTTTCCCCTAGCAAGAACTGAAAAATCCTTCCCTGGAGACATCTCTACCTTGCAGTAATGCTGGTTGAAACAGCCACAACAGACAAACTGGAGGCCCTGACCATTTACTGGGTTTTGAATGCTGAACGGGGCAGGAGTGGGTTACAGACTGGGAGCTCGCTGCACCACTGGCCGCTGAGAAGTTGCATTGTCCCGGGGCCCCCGCTTTCACAACAGGGGAAAAGGTAATTGACAGCCTGATTGTTTGGCCAGGCCCCCTGCTGTTTTAAAATCCTGGAAGGCCCCAGTCGCACGTTGTCAATAACAGCCGGCGGAGGTGCGGAGTGAAGGGCTGTTCAGGAAGCAGTTTGAGCCCTTCAAGTGGACAGGCCTCAGTCACTTCTGTTCCACTCTGGCTGCCACAAGCGACTCATTCAAAAATAACCTTCAAGTAATAAATCAAACTTGTTTCCTGAACTATACAAGGAACAGCTGGTTATTTTTCCTCACTTTTTTTTTTTTCAAAGACTGAAAAAAAAAAAAGGAGATTTTTTACTACAGGAAATCAAGCATGTCAAAATTTGGCAAAGCAATTTGGATGATTTAACAGCTAAATACTTCTCTTTTTAATGTTATGCTTTCATCGGCCTTTTTTTATTTCGGCTTTTCCTTTCTGCATTCTGTGTGCTGTCGTGGGTCCCTTATCTCTGCTTTCCTCCTTCGTGACAGGAAAACCAGTTTAGTGTTTTGTCCTTAGAAGATCTCTGGTGTAATTTCTGACATAGTGGTCAAGATGCTCCACTTCTTATACAGCTAAAATTTGTTTCGTTCTGCAGGAAAAAGTTTGGCTTTAGACCTAGGGCTCCACGTCTCTTTTTCTCCAGAGATCCATTTATTTTGGAGTTCTGATGACAAGGCAGTTTTTCTCCAGTTTGCTGATTTAGGAACCCTGAGCTAGTACATATGTCACAACTGAAGTAGTCTGGTGTTTGAAGAAAGTACATTTTGAGCTCTTTGGTCTTTTTGCATCTCTCTTTGTGCCTATTTTTGTGTTTCCTTTGTGTGTGTCTTTCTCTCCTTGACTATGTTTGCCCTTCAGATTCTAGAAAACTCTGCTAACCTCTGATTGACCTTAGCAGTATTTAAAAATGTAATTAACATGAAGCAATGCCCTTCTATGACGATTACTGTTTACCTTTCTTTTACAGATTCTTGATATTTCCAATAGAAATCCATTTTAAGTGAAAATATTTTAATAATCTATCGTGTGTACCTTAGAGGTCAGCTTTTCACGACTTGTGGACTTTGAGAATTAAAAAAAGAAGTGTATTTGTATTTGAGAATCTGTCAGATTTTAGTGCACTAGGTCTATTTCAATCTGTTTAAATATAACTAAAAATCAGGATTAGATATTAAGATTATGTAAAACATCTCTTTTACAGGGTATTTTAACCACTCTACAGTAAATGAAAAAACATTGATTATAATATAGCATTAAGTGAGAAATTATAAATTATACTTAGGGATTTTGACCTTTATGTATAATTATATTTCTTAATTTTGTTGAAGAGATTATTCATCTGTAATAAAACACTTGTAATGAAAGTTATGTTTACAGGAAGATAATAATGAAATTCAATTTGTAGTAGAATTAGGTCATGGTAGGCTTCTTTTGTATTTCTATTCATTTCTTTTTAAATATCTTTTCCTTTGTATTTCCTTATTAATGACAATGCTGTAATAGCACAAATAAACCCATCTTTGTGCTGTATAAATAAACTTATATACACTTTGTAAATATACAGATATCTTGGCTGATACAAGTGTGAGTTTAGCAGTGGGTGTGGTTTCCATCTAAATGATTCTTCCATATACAGCTGATATTCATACTGAACCTGTTTTGATGTAATATTTCTTTAACTTTCAGCATTTAAGCTTCGACCATGTGATACGTGACTGGATAGAATTTCTGGAGAACTGTATTAACATGTTCCAAAAAGCTGAATCCTGAGGTTAGTACCATGTCAGAAAGTTTGAGAATTTGTGCAGTAGTTATAGTACGGTTCATAAATGGTCATATAATTTGCAAGTGAATTACATTATAAATATATTTAAAATAATATGAAGCACTCAGTTCTGTAGATGAATCACTTCTCACTAAGTCACAGCCTTTTGTTTCGCTCGGAGATGCTCAGGGATGCGCCCTTTGAACCTCCTGGCGTCCTCCGGCCTCACAGCTCCTCCCCTTGGCCACGCGGACTCCGGCCACCGTGGGGGCGGGCGAGATAACGAGTGTGGACCGAAAGTGCTCTGTGCAGACGTGCCTTCTGGCCTCCTGTTCAGCTGCCAGTCTCACGGCTTGCCCCGAGAATGGACTTCCTGTGCTGTCCTTTCCACTCACCATCACACTCAGCGCTCTTTGTCACTCAGCCTTTGAGACAGAAGGGGGCGAGATAACACATCTAGACCGCTCCTGTTGACTTTGTAGATAAAGTCAAGGGCTGGAGTCAAGAACCCAGGGTCTTATCCTCCTCACTTTGCAACTGCCTTGCCTTGTGACATTGAGCCAGGCTTTGGACCTCCCCATTGCTCCCTTTTCCTCTTCTATCCAATGAGAATCAGTGATGTTCTCTTATTTATCAGGAAGGTGTGGTTGTTGAAGGAATTTCTAAATGCTTGAAGCCCCTAGCAAAAGGAAAATGAAATCAGATAAAATGACCTTTTCTTTTGCTTTTTGGGGGGAAGATGGAAAGGAGGCTGCAGCTGATTAATTACTCCCCACTCCCAGAAGTAATTCATTCTATGATCTTGTAGATAGGGAATTTTCCTCCTGCCCTTGTCAGTTTTTACCTCATCCTTATCTCTGGCTCTTTTCATCTTTCTCTCTCTCTCTTCCTGCCTGTTTCTCCCTTTTCCTGTGCCCCTGCAATGTTGCTTTCATAGCAATGTGCTGTGAGATCAAGGTGTGTAGAAATCAGCAAAGGTGAAGAACATCTCTAAAAGGCTCTGTTCAGTGTGGTTGAGCGGATGCACCGAGAAAATAGGGGGGCATCCTGAGTTGACTGGATGGGGAGGGATGGTAAGGGGAAGCTTTTGCAAATATGTTGGACTTAGAAAGATAAACCTTTAGAAACAGTTACCAGCTGGCAAGATGGGTCTCTGGGGCCTGGGACCACTTATTTAGAGGTTTTCCCAAAGAGATGGGATTGGAAAGGGTTGGAACCTGTAGTGAGATTCAAGGATTCTCTCAATGGGATAGGGTGGAGGGCCTGTTCTGACCACAGTCATGGCTTCCTTTTTCAGTAAATTGTACAATTGCATAGAGTGTAGCTTTGAGTTGAAAGGGATTTCAAAACTCCTACTTCAAGTTAGAGTGTGTGAAGTATCATGAATTTTAAAGCGTGCATTTTAATACATTTTACTTGGTTCAGTGGGTAAAGAATTTGCCTGCAGTGTAAGAGACACAGGAAACATGGGTTTGATCCCTGGGCCAGGAAGATCTCCTGGAGAAGGAAATGGCAACTCACTTCAGATTTCTTGCCTGGGAAATTCCATGGACAGACGAGCCAAGAGGGCTATGGGTCCAGTCCAGTGGGTCGCAAAGAGTTGGGTACGATAGAGGGACTAAGCACACACTTTTAAAAAATCTTTAGTGGTTGAATTTTATTGCTACTGTTTTCATTCTATTCTGTGAAGAGCTTGGTAATATAAATTACAAGCCAGGCATTAATTCACTTAGCATTCCTCATGGCTTTTTAAGAGGGGTGCTGTATATTCTGGCTTGCTTATTGGATTTTCCACATTTACATATCGATTCGTATGTGTTTGGATTTTTTTCATTCAAAAGGCAGCAATATCATTTTGGTGGTGTATGCTTTTGATCTTATGTACATACATGGTTTTTATATGGCCTGATGTTGTGTTTGTTACTTCTTATTGCATCCATTGTATATTCTAAAATGTATTATTCGATTTTACTACCTAATAGGCTTTTTTAGGGTGACTCCCCTCATTAAGGAAAACAAAAAGACTACTACATGGGGGACATATATAATATATAATGTAGTATATGTACATAAGTACATATTTAAAATATAATATACAAATATATACATTTCACTTGTTTTAATAAGAAGGATATGAAAAGATTCCTGTCAGTCTATCTATAATTCACAGGATCAGAAGAGGAGGCAGTAGCTTATTAACTTAAAAAAATAAATTTATTTATTTCTAATTGGAGGATAATTGCTTTACAATATTGTTTTGGTTTCTGTCATACATCAACATGAATCAGCCATAGGTATACATATGTCCCCCCCACCCCGAACCTCTCTCTCACCTCCCACCCCATCTCAGCTCTCTGTGTTGTCACAGAGCACCAGATTTGAGCTCCCTGAGTCATATGGCAAAACCCTACTGGTCATCTGTTTTATACAGGGTAATGATTGTGTTTCAGTAAGGAACTTATTAACTTTCTAAACTTTTTTCTGCTCTGTTTCACTTTGTACAACAAATATGTGTTACTTTATTATTATTTTATTGTATTGCTTTCTTGAAACATTAACAAAAAAAGTTTCAATACCGATTTAATATAAACACGTAAAGACAAAATTTAGTAGTCATTGATAATATTTGAGTTTTACAAGGTTTTTGCCAATCTTGTTAACATGTCTAAAAATCTGCAAGGAGAAGAGTCCCTTTTGTTTTTAGAGCACACATACACAAGGCAATGGCTGGTGCTCCCTCTGCTGGTTTCCCTGTACGAATTAGATTGCCAGCTTGGGAGAGTAAAAAGATAACAATGAAAATTCTGTTGATTCTTTGTCTTTAAACACTCTTTCTACATATGAGCTTTATCCTAGATTGGCAGCAAGTGTTAAAGCAGTTTGTGAAAATGGGTTCTTTCCTGATATTTACCAGTGATACTGAAGTTGGGCTAGATAATTAAAAATCCCTTTTTTTGTATCATATAGTAAGATAGAAAACACAATTATTCCTAATTTATTGGGACTTTTTGAGTGGGGATTAATTTTATACAACTAACTCTAGGAATTAGTTGATGGAACACATTTACATTAGTAAGCAAAAGTGATGGGAGCAGGGACATTATCACAGGACATTTTTATTCTGAGCTTCCTTGGTGGCTCAGATGTAAACATTTTAAATTCTATTTATTTATTTATTAATTTTTGGCTGTGCTGGGTCTTCCGTGCTGTGCGCAGGCTGACTCTATTTGCGGCGAGCGGGGTCTACTCTCTAGCTATGGTGCGTAGGCCTTTCACTGTGCAGGTTTCTCTTGTTGTGGAGCACAGGCTCTGCCTGGATGCATGGGCTTCAGTCGTTGCAGCTCACTGGCTCTAGAGAGTGGGCTCGGTAGCTATGGCACACCAGCTTACCCGTGGCATGTAAAATCTTCCTGGACCAGGGATCAAACCCGACTCTCCTGCATTAGCAGGTGGATTCTTATCCACTGTACCACCAGGAAAGTCCATGAGCCATTTAAAAAATTAAATACCTTGTTATATCATTACTGTAATTATAAATTCTTATATAAAAGATATTTGAAATTTTCTTGGTTTAGTTAATATCAATATCTAAACTATAAAATTCTTAGAATTCATTGAATTCACCATTTTTTGGGGGGGGAAATCCTGACTTTCATGGATCAGAATATATTGAATTATATATACTATTCATTTATCAAATATTAGTATTAAATCATTCCTAACTATTTTATTGTATTCTGTATTATATAGATAATATGGTATTCTGTGTCTTAAAGGGCTTTAATGTGAAGATTCTGTCTGTTATTCAGCTCTTTTTACTAGCTTTTGCCTTTAGGTAGATGTCGGCTATAGTATTAACTGATAGAATATATGAAACTATTTCCCTTAGGGATATAGGCATTTAATAGGGAACTCTGGTGAATCTATGAACTTTCAAAGGAAGCATTTTTAATGGAAGGTTTCAGGGAGAGGGCTTTTGTAGGAGGATAAAGTAGTCTGGAGAAGGGTCACCTCTGGACAGGCCCATGGGAAAGAAATGGAGAATTTAGAGAAGTCCAAGGAATAGGCAGAAGAACCTGGCAGTCTGCAGTTCATGGGGTCCCAAAGATTTGGACACCACTGAGCGACTTTCACTTTTTCAAGCAACAGGCAATAAAGAATGTGGGAGGTGCTATTTAGTGGGAAAGAACAGGAGCTGCATTTCCTTATAAAAGAACTGCTTTCCTTTTTCAAAAAAAATTTTTTAATATTATATTGGAGTGTAGCCATTTAACAATGCTCTGATAGTTTCAGGTGGACAGCAAAGGGACCTAGCCGTACATATACATGTATCCGTTCTCCCCCAAACTCCCCTCCCATCCGTGCTGCCACATAGCTTTGAAAAGAGTTCCCTGTGCTATACAGTAGGACTTTGTTGGTTATCCATTTTGAATATAGCAGTGTGTATTGCTCTCCTTTAAAAAAAGTCATTCCCTTTGTGAGGGGTGCTCAGGGAATGGTGAAGGAGAAAGGAAATAAAAGAGTAGAAAAGCCAGATGTCATAAATCAACTTTACCCATCACTGGATGAGCCATATACCATACTCAGATCAACAGCATGGAGAATGCAAGGTAGAGATTTAGGCAAGTGACAATGTTGGGGACAGGCAGTTTCATGTAGCTGAGATCAGCCACAGCTTCTGGAGTTTAGGCATGGGAATTCTGGGCTCTGGAAAGAGTGGGGAGGGTGATGAGTGTTGGGGGTCTGGGCAAACTGAGGGCATCTGCATACATACTGTAGGACTCCAGTGCTGGAGGACCTGGAGTCCCAGGCAGTGCATCATAGCAAAGACAAGACTCAGTTCCTGCCGCTGGACTCTGAGTTCAAGAGGATTCCTGGCAGGATCTCTGCTCTGGATCATGGGCTATGAGTAGTTAGAATCAAGGCTGATTTGATACTGACCCCAATGTTCTAGCAAATTCCTTCATCCTGAGTCTGGAGAGGGTTTGTATATATGAGTGCATGTTCAGTTAAGACCTATAAGCCACACAGATGATGGCCCAAATCCGGAATTTTAGGAGATGTTATTGGAGAGGGGGTTATGTTCCTTGCCTCTCAAACCATGGTATATGGGCTAATGCACACTTAGCCTACTTAAAAAGTCACTGTGCATTAGAGGTTAAAGATTAAAGAAAGAAAAATACCCCTGCTTTGAATTTTTAAAATAGCTTTATTGAGGTATAAGGGGCGTCCAGTGGCTCAGTGGGAAAGAATCCACCTGCAATCCAGGAAACATAGGAGACTTGGGTTTGATCCAGACCTGGGTTTGATCCCTGGGTAGGGAAGATCCCCTGGAAGGGAGCATGGCAATCCGCTGCAGTGTTCTAGCCTGGAGAATTCCATGGACAGAGGAGCTTGGCGGGCTATAGTCCATGGGGTCACAAAGAGTCAGACGTAACTGAAGTGACTTAACATGCATATACGTATTGAGGTATAAATTCAGATACTATACAATCCACCCTTTTAAAGTATACAGTTAAATGAGTTTGAGTATATTACATAACTTCTTTGAATTGTGGAATAATACATACAACATAAAATTTGCGATTTTCACCATTTCTTTTTTATCACAGTAGTAAAAGATGTTTATCAGTTTTCACAATAAATAGCCAGACAAAAAGTAAAAGATAATTACAGTTGCAAGCTATAATGGAAACGTGATTAACCTAACAATATAAAATAATTACACACAATTTGGGGGATTAAGTAGAGTGATGTGGTAAGTGGAAGTGTGTACATGCATATATTTTCATCCACTCAGCCAGTCTATGTCTTATGGTTGATGCATTTAATCTATTTACATTAAAGATAATTATCCATATGTATGATCCTCCTGTGGAGAAGGGAATGTCAACACATTCCAGTATTCTTGCCTAGAGAATTCCATGCACAGAGGAGCCTCGCTGATTATAGTCCATGGGGTCACAAAGAGTCGGACACCACTGAACGACTAACACACACACTCTTTCTCTCTGTCTCTCTCTCTACCCCCTTCTCTCTCCCTCTGCCCATTGGGACTTCCTAGGAGGCACTAGTGGTAAAAAGCCTGGTTGTCAATGCAGGAGACTTAAGAGATGCAGCTTCGATCCCTGGGTGGTGCAGATCCCCTGGAGGAGGGCATGGCAACCCACTCCAGTATTCTTGCCAGGAGAATCCCATGGACAGAGGAGTCTGGTGGACTACAGTCTATAAGGTCACACAGGGTTTGACATGACTGAAGTGAGTTAGCAAGTATGCAAGCATGATCCTATTGCCAGTTTCTATTTGTTTTGGCTTTATTTTGTGTAGGTCTTTTCCTTCTCTTGTGTTTCCTGCCTAGAGAAGTTCCTTTAGCATTTGTTGTAAAGCTGTTTTGGTGGTTTTGAATTCTTTTTACTTTTGCTTGTCTGAAAAGCTTTTGACTTCTCCATCAAATTTGAATGAACATTTATATTTACCATTAGTCCCACATAATTGTTCTCTAATTTTTTTAAAATTTATTTTTAGTTCTGTCTCTTCAGGTGATGTATTTTAAATTTCTTAAATGCAGGACTGTTTTTTCAGATCTTTTGTGTTACCCTAAGAACTTTAACTGGATTTTTACCCAGATTATTCTAAATGACAGAGATGATAGGGCTTTGTTTTTTTGTTTTTTTTTCCAATATTCTCTATAGAGCAAATCCCCTGAGTTTCTACATGAAGGTGTGAGAGGGAAAGGAGCTTTGATTTTATGTATTTAGGTTTTGTATGGTATTTCCCTTGAAGAATGAATTGCCCTGAAAAATTTCAAAAACTATGAGTGTGTTTTGCTGATGATAATCAACTCAATATTTAGAAGCAACTGAATGTAGAAAACTCTTCATTGAAAGTCTAAATTAGATTATTTATGAATTGATTTCTTTATGAATATATATGTATTACTAGTCCTACATGAATCAACTTAAAATTTTATGTGTTTCTTGTTTTGTTCATGATAGTGGTTTTAAAAGCCATGCTTTTTACTGTTAGAAGAACTTTTAGTCCAAGAGTGCTCATGTGTTCATAAACCTTATAGTCCAGGAAAAGCAGTCTGGAAAGAGAAAACTCTCTGTATAGCCCGGGAGCTCCCCAGCAAATAGATATGTACTTAAATGGATGTGCATTTTTTCCACCCTTGGACTGACCACATAAAATTTGACACAGCCAAGGCAGTGATCTAAATGAAGCTAGGATGCATATAAGAGCTCGTGGATTTGTTTCAGGTCCTTTTGAACCAAAGCTATTTTTTTGCTTTATTTATATTATCAGAATCTTCTTTGCCTTTCATTCTCTTCTGATCAGAGAGGTAGACTCCTTTAGATCTACCTTCTCTGTCAACAGTAGCCATTAGTCACATGTGGCTGAAATGTCTTGAGTACATGCTAGATTTCAATGACTTAGTATGGGAAAAAAAAATGGTGAACTAGCTCATTTGCATATTGTTGTATTATACATTGAAATGACAACAGTTGGTTAAATAAACATTATTGAAATTAATTTCTTTTCATTAATTTCTGTTTCTTTTTACTTTTTACCACTGAAAAATGTTAATTTACATATATGGCTCACATTTCTGTTGAAGGAAACCCCTGTAGACCAATAGTTCTTAAACTTTTTTGAATAATGATGCATTTCTTTGACACTCTGATAAAAGCTCAATAGATCATAGAGTGACAGATACTGTCAATTCTGTTACAGCCAGCAGATGTGTTCCCAAGACTCACCTTACTATGCAAAATCATGCAATAGAAGCTACAGGGCTGGACATTCGACAATATCGTCAGTGACATGTGAAGACACATAATAAACATGGTAGCATGGTTCTGTCCATGGCAAATGGTTAAGAAATATGCCAGTATTACAATAAATATGGTGCTTGACCCTGAAAATGTCTCATTTGTCTGTGGGGGTGGAGCTCTACAATGCCTGCCTCGTTGCCCTGGCTGCCACTCTGTGTCAGAGAAGAGAACTTGTTAGGAAAGTAGAAAAAGACCGAGGGAAAGAGAAAGAGAAAGATAACAGAGAACAGGCAGGAAAAACACAAAATAGGCTGAGGGAAAGACGGGAAAAACATGAAAGAGAAGGGCAGGCGTGAGTCTGATTGACAGTCAGCGGGGTTGCGGCTTGTGTTTGGGAGGTCACCTGAACTCGGATGGAATGTTGGAAGAGCACAAGGAGAAAGTTGGGAAGTGAAAGTTGCTCAGTTGTGTCCAACTCTTTCAGACCCCATGGACTGTGGAATTCTCCAGGCCTGGATACTGGAGTGGGTAGCCTTTCCCTTCTCCAGGGGATCTTCCCATCCCAGGGATGGAACCCAGGTCTCCCGCATTGCAGGCGGAGTCTTTACCAGCTGAGCTATCAGGGAAGCCGGGAGAAAGTTGGAACAGTAAATTAAACAGCAAAGGTAGAGTTCATTGTTCTTAAGAGATGTGCGCATGCATGCATTTTGCTGACTTGGGCAAAGCTCAGTTCAGCTAGGTGCAGTTTTCTGTGTTGGCCTGCAGATGAAATTGGCACAAATACAAAATTAGTGTTGTGGTACAGTCTTCCCTAATTTGTCAGTCACGTTGGAACAAATTCACGTTTTCAAAATAAGCGTTCTAGCAGAACTGATTGTAGAAACATACACCAAGATAGATTGTCATACACAGCTCATGTTTGCAACCTGCAGACTGGAGAAGTGTCAGGGCATGCCAGGCATGAGGAAGCAAAGGTGAAATGCCAGCAATAGGTTTTTTCAAGGTGTTATAGTACCTTACATAGTTATAAGGGATTACAAGAAGCGGGGAGTATTGAGCAATTTGTGGCGACTCCACTGGAATGTAGAGAATGAATGCATTTATGGGGCTGGATTCCTGAGGATAGAAGATGTTGAACTTGAGGAGCAGAGAAGGTAGATTCCCACTGGATGCCAACTGAGAATGATGTATTTACACAGCCTTTCTAATCTATGACAGAATTGTCCAGGAAAATCTATTTGCGAATAGAACTCTCAGGGACAGGAAATGAATGCTTGGTGAGAGGAATATTCTAGGAGGTAGTAGGAAAAGAGAGCAGATATTGTCCTAATAGTCTGCTCCTATTTATCCTGGGCTTTAGTTACAATCCACAGAACTTGGTTCCTGTGACTTTATAGAAATAGGTCTAAGAATCTGTCAAGGGGAAGTGAACCGAGATCTTCAGGTCACTAGGAGCAGTGAACTAACTTTGAAAATTGAATCAAACCACTGAAGTAGTTGCCCATTAAACATGGTAATACTAATGATGGTGATGATGATGATAGCAAGCTAGTGTTCTTTGGGCTTTAAGTGTAGCTGGGGACCTACTATATGTTTTATGTGGATGATTTTATTTACTGCCCATAATATTTAAATTTTTTAAAATTTATTTTTTAATTGAAGGATAATTGCTTTCCAGAATTTTGTTTGTTTCTGCCAAATATCAACATGAATTGCTCATAACATTTTGAGAAAGGACTTTTGCCTTTCTTATCTATGTCTTTTTACAGATAGAAGTAACTATACCAACATCACACTGGTAGCAAGTAGCTGAATTGGAGGAACTTGAAGGCAGGCAGTCTAAAACCAGTGTTTGCATGGAAGACTCTGGTCTTATTAGTGATCTTGCTGGGAACTTTCCTTGTCTACTGTTGTATATTGTTGTTCAGTTGCTAAGTTGTATCTGACTCTATGACCCCATGAGCTGTGGTAGACCAGGTCTCCCTGTCCTTCACTATCTCCAGAGTTTGCTCAAAACCATGTCCATTCAGTTGGTGATGCCATCCAACCAGTTTATTCTCTGTTGTCCCCTTCTCCTCTTGCCCTCAATCTTTCCCAGCATCAGGGTCTTTTCCAAAGAGTCAACTCTTTGCATCAGGTGGTCAAAGTATGGGAACTCAGCTTCAACATCAATTCTTCCAATGATGTTTGTTGATTTCCTTTAGGATTGTCTGGTTTGATCTCCTTACTGTCTGAGGGACTCTGGCACTATTTTAATTTGTGTAATGAAATGCTATTACTTAGGTTACTTTTAAAATGGAAGGAAAATACACATATATGGGTTTAAAAAAGGAAACATAGAAAAAAGAAATAAAAACAATTTTAAAAACGGAAATCAAGTTTAAAATTCACATCCAACATACTATAATACATATATTTGGGTAACATGACTTGAAAATGTTACTTGATACACACATGCAGGGGGTTTTCCATCCATGTATAGGCTCCTTGTGGAGTTTCCATTGCTATTGGATGTATATAGGATTACCAGCTCTAAATCATAGTAACAATGGGTGATATAATCAATTTTAAATTGCTATTCAGTTTTATCCAAGGCATATTTAACATTCGGCTTTAAATGTTAACAAATGTCATTCATTATTTTTCAGAAATAGATAGAATTAATCATTTTTCGCAGGTTTAGTTAAATTTTCTTGTGTGATTATGCAAGGATAGTATGCTATACAGAAAGCAACACATTATTGTAAAAGCCTAAGCTGCACATTTGTTAACATTACTTTCCATTTGCTTATTTTTGCTCTAGATTCTAATTTATAAGAAGGGTATAGTAAGGCATTTTGTATTTAAGCGAAATCTAGTTTTAAATGAATTTTTTTTTCACAATAGGTACCACCAGATTTTATTCTTTCTGCTTTATGACGAGAATACAATCTTATTTTCTCTATTGTCTTTCCAGATACTTGGTTCTTATTAGTAGATTAGAAATAAGACATTTTGGAAAGGAAAATAGGGACTTCCTTGGTGGTCTTGGACTGCAGGGGCATGGGTTTGATCCCTGGTCAGGGGAACTCACATCCCACGTGCCATGCAGCATGGCCAAAAATGGGAGAGGAAAGTAGCATTACCAAACCAGACTTGGGTTTGCTTGCCTGCAGTAAAGCAAATCTACTGACATTGGGTTGTGGTGAAAGAGAGAGTAGTGTTTATTGCAGGTTGCCAAGCAAGGAGGGCAGGCAGCTAGTGCTTAAAAGGTCCCAACTCCTGGAGTCTTTCAAGGAAAGATTTTTAAAGACAAGGTGAGGGAGATGGGATTGGGGGGGCTTGTTATCAGCTTGTGAACATTCTAATTGTTTGGTGATGAGTGATCAGGAGTCACTATCATCAACCTGCTAGCTCCAACCCATCTAGGGTCTACAGGCTTGTGGGCAGAGTATAGTTAACTTCTTGCACCTGCTGGGGGTTTCAGTATCTGCAAAACGGCTCAAAGGACATGGCTGAGAATATTATCTAGAGCCCTCGAAAGTGAAAGTTAGTCACACAGTTGAGTCCGACTTCTTGTGACCCCATGGACTGTAACCCACCAACCTCCTCTGCCCATGGGATTTCCCCAGGCAAGAATACTGGAGAGGGTTGCCATTCCCTTCTCCAGGGAATTTTATGACCCAGGGATCAAGCCCAGGTCTCCTGCATTGCAGGCAGATTCTTTACCCTTACGTGTATGTGTGTGTTAGTCACTCAGTTGTATCTGACTCTCTGACCCCATGGACGCAAAATATCTTTAAATCTGTGCAATGAAATGCTAAGTAATAACCTAAGTAATCTTAGGTTATTTAACCTGACTAAATGCTATTTACTTAGGTTATAGCCTGCCAGGTTCCTCTGTCCATGGAATTTTCCAGGCGAAGGTACTGGTGTGGGTTGCCATTTCCTTCTCCAGGGGATCTTCCCGACCTAGGGATTGAACCCAGGTCTCCTGCATTGCAGAGCTCTTGAGGAGGAATTAAAGATCTTTGACTTTGTTTAAGGGCTAAAGTAGTATTATTTTGTCTTTTGTTTTCTTTTCTTTCTGCATTTCCCCGCCCACCCCCCTTCTCTGATTAAATTTACTATTTGGGACTCAGGGAAGTCCTAGGAGGTTAAAGTTTCTCTGTGGACAAGGGGGCAGGTGGAGTACATGGTGGGGAATGGGGAGTTGGTCTGGGAAGGCCGCATAGGGTCCTGCTCCATTACAGTAGAAGACCATCCCCTTACCCCTTTTAGTCCCTACTTTCAGATGTTCCATGACTTGGGAGATGTCATTTTGTCCCTTCACTTTTTTTTCCTGTTCTCTGTTGTGTTAAAGGAAATAAGCATACACATTTAAGGGTAAGATTTTTCTAAAGAATGCTTTTTTTTTTTTTTTTTAAGAATTGCAGTAGGAGCACATTTTCTGCTATTATTGGATAAATACCTAGTGAGGTGGGCTTCCCTGGTAGCTCAGCTGGTAAAGAATCTGCCTGCAATGCAGGAGACCCTGTTTTGATTCCTGGGTGGGGAAGATTCCCTGGAGAAGGAATAGGCTACCCACTCCAGGATTCGTGGGCTTTCCTGGTGGCTCAGATGATAAAGAATCTACCTGCAATGCGAGAGACTTGGGTTTGATCCCTGGATTGGGAAGATCCCTTGGAGGAGGGCATGTCAACCCACTCCAGTATTCTTGCCTGGAAAATCCCCATGGACAGAGGAGCCTGGCGGGCTACAGTCCATGGGATCTCGAAGAGTCGGACACAACTGTGTGACTAAGCACAGGACACATCTGCTGAGGTGCTCTATCTCTCCCTCGGATTCCTCTTCTGACTTCCCTGAAGAAGAACCATGTACTTAAGACTGACTTTGCTCTCCACACCACCTTACCTGGCTCACCCAAACATCGTGGCTGCACTTCCCAGAGAGATGGAATGTCTGGGACTGCTGGTGGGGGTGGGGGACTGCTGTCAGGGGTCGCCGTTCTGCCCTCCAAAGCTGGCCACCACTCAGCTCTCCTGAAGGGAATATTCCTATGACTTCTCAAGTGGTGTAACTGAGCAGATCCTGCCAGCAGTCTTGGCCAGGGACCAAAGGAGAGTGGAGGGTGGGGAGCCTGTGGGAGGCTTCTATCT